CTTTGGTCAGTCCAGTCAGGCTTGCAGAGAACTGGTTTTAATCATTTGTAATGCAAAGAGGCAAAGCTGCTGGTGAGGATCAGGTAACACCATATCTGCTGAAAGATGGAGGACAGATTGTGTTAGAAGAAGTAGCCACTCTGTTTACAAGGTGTCTCGTGGCGGGAAGAGTACCAGTATCTTGGAAAAATGCTAACATCATTTTAATGCATAAGGAAGGAGATGACAAGGACTTGAAGAATTACAGGCCGATCAGCTTGCTCTCCGTCGTATACAAGCTATTTACAAAGGTAATCGCTAACATAATTAAGACAACATTAAATTCAATCAACCCAAGGAACAAGCAGGATTTCGAACTGGCTACTCAACAATCGACCATATTCATACTATCAATGAGGTAATAGAGAAATGCTCAGAATACAGCCAACCGCTATACATAGCCTTGATAGACTACGAGAATTAAGGCGTTTGATTTAGTAGAAATATCAGCAGTCGTGAAGACACTGCAGAATCAGGGCGTCGACGAAGCATATATAAAAATTCTGGAAGAAATCTACAGGGGATCAACTGCTACCTTAGCGCTTCATAAAGAAAGCAACATAATACCAATCAAGAAAAAGGAGATAAGGCAGGGGGATACAATCTCCCCAATGCTATTCAGCGCGTGCTTACAGGTGGTTTTCAGAGGCCTAGAATGGCAACAGTTTGGGATAAGAGTTAATGGAGAGTACCTTAATAATCTGCTCTTCGCCGATGACATTGCATTGCAGAGTAACTCAGGGGACGAATCGCAATTCATGATTACGGAGTTAGACAAGGAGAGCAGAAAGGTGGGTCTTAAAATTAATCTGCAGAAAACGAAAGTAATGTACAACAACCTCGGCAAGGAGCAGCGCTTCGAGATAGGTAATAGTGCACTTGAAGTTGTAAAAGACTATGTCTACTTAGGGCAGGTAATAACCGCAGAGCCGAACCACGAGATTGAAGTAACTAGAAGAATAAGAATGGGGTGGAGCACATTCGGCAAGCCCTCTCAAATTATGACAGGTAGATTGCCACTATCTCTCAAGAGGAAGGTATATAACAGCTGTATTTTGCCGGCACTTAGCTACGGAGCAGAAACCGGGAGACTTACAAAGAGGGTTCAGCTTAAATTGAGGACGACGCAGCGAGAAATGGAAAGAAAAATGGTAGGTGTAACCTTAAAAGACAAGAAGAGAGCAGAGTGGATTAGGGAACAAACGGGGGTTAAGGATATCATAGCTGAAATCAAGAAGAGGAAATGGACATGGGCCGGGCATGTAGTGCGTAAACAGGAAAACCGCTGGTCATTAAGGGTAACTAACTGGATTCTTAGAGAAGGCAAGCGGGTTAGGGAGAGACAGAAAGTTAGATGTACAGATCAGATTAAGAAGTTTGTGGGTGTAAAATGGCAGCAGCAAGCACAGGACCAGGTTGACTGGCGGAACATGGGAGATGCCTTTGTCCTGCAGTGGACGTAGTCAGGCTGATGATAGTGATGATGTAGAGCAAACCTGCTCGAATAATAAGTCCATACTCTTGTGCTCACCCGTTGCCTTTAGTAATCGCTGAAGAACCTCCGTGGTACTTGAAATCACCGGGTTAGCACAATGCATAGCCGCGCTAAACATGTGTTGCCCGATTAAGCCATCTTCGACGAATGCATGGTTGACTAGTCTGGCGTATATCTCACTGCGGCATCTGTTTTCTGCCCGCCACAACTTGCTGTCTTTATCTCTCCCGTAGTTGACACAAGGTCTATACAAATAGGTCACGAAGGCACGCGCGAAAAGTGGTTCAGAAGCTATCGCCAGCGACGTCATGGGGAGTTATGGCAGCTGCGATTGAAGCTCGACCATGTGTGGAGGGATCAAGTACTAAAAGTGAAAAAAAAAAAAACAAGTTTGATTCAAAGTTGAAGCAGTCAATAGGTTTTACATTTCTTTTTCCCAACATTATTATGTGAGTGTAATGAACTGAAAGTTTATGACTGTTTTGATTACGAAAAAAAAAATAAATTTAGCGCCCTCTGGCCACGCTATTATTACTCAGTGCAGCCCTTGCACTACATGGGTATACATGGCAAGGCCCGCTCGTAGAATTCGTTTGCAAAGACCACCCCCTCACGTGTTTTAGTGTTCTGCGCTTGCTTGCGTTCCCTGTTATGCGTGAAATTGTTAGGTGCGTTTTATCGTTGGTGAACATCTTCGGTGCAGTGTCCAACGGGCAGTGGAACGGTGCGAATTGCATTTACAGCCGAGTGTTTTCGTCGCTAGCAGCGGAAGTGATGTGCTGTGCAAGGACGCAATAGCAACAAATGTATGCCTGGTGACCCGTGTCTTCTAGATAAAAAATAAGGACAATGGTTCGGAATGCATTGCTCGCTGGACTTCCATCTATCAATAATCCTGCAGCCCGGCTTCTTTCTTGAGCATGGAGTGTCTACTATTCGCGTTATCTATCACGGTACAATTCGCATGTCTTCATTCGCATACGTATCGGTAATTTATCGAAGCATAATGCAAAAATAGAAAAAAACATAACGCAGGGAGTTGATTGATTGATATGGGGGGTTTAACGTCCCCAAACCACCATATGATTATGAGAGACGCCGTAGTGGGGGGCTCCGGAAATTTCGGCCACCTTGGGTTCTTTAACGTGCACCCAAATCTGAGCACACGGGTCTAGAACACTTCCACTTCCATTGGAAATGCAGCCGCCGCAGCCGGGATTTGATCCCGCGACCTGCAGGTCAGCGCAGTACACTGAGTGGCCAGTGCAGTCAGTGGCCACTTTGGCCACGGTGAAAATACATGAGGCGCTTTTGTGTGCTGAAATTAAGTAACGAATGGGGCTACTTGGAACATACTCATCACGATCAGCGCACAAAAAGGACAAAAACACAAGAAAGTTCAATGAAAGAAACGTGTCATATATGCAAACATGAATTGATTGATATGTGGGAATGAACGTCCCAAGAACATCATATGATTATTAAACATGCCGTAGTGGAGGGCTCTGGAAATTTCTACCACCCGGGGTTCTTTACCTTGCGCCCAAATATGAGTACACGGGCCTACAGCATTTTTGATCGCCTCCATCGAAAATGTAACTGCCGCAGTCGGAATCCCATCCCGCGATCTGTGGGTCAGCTGCCGTGTGCTTTTAGGCACTGTACCATCGCGGCAGGGCTGCAAACATGAAGACATAAAAAAACCTTGACCCACCTTCAAACCGTAAGCCAACCTTCAATCGCTCTTACAGATGCTGAGATTTCGTATCTACAGCATGCTTGATTACGTGTTTGGTGGAAGGGGAGAGGGGTCAAGATTTTTTTGACGCCTTCACGTTTCCATATATATATGACACGTTTCTTCCATTAAACTTTCAGTTTAATGGAAGGCATCGCTTGTGTCGTCCACTTTCTTGTGTGTTTTGTCTGTCCTTTTTGTGAACTGATCGTGATGAGCTTTTATGTGCAATGAATCGCGCAGTTTCTTTGCGGGATTTTCAACCTAATATGCATACCACTCTAGAAAAGTTTTCAAATGGAAGCCTAGTGCTCTAAGAGTTCATTTCAAAAAGTCGCCGGCCCGCTTAAAACTTTCCCGATAAGTTTTCCGTGTGGCATGAGTATCCACATAACTGGTTCTCGGGTTGACCTGTTTAGGAAGCGCACACTAATTGTTACTATATAGTGTATTGCGATAAGCATTAGTGAATTGTGATTACTTGCTCTTTTTTATTACTTTGAGAGGGCAGCCCTATGCCACTGTGAAGCGATAATGTCCATAAGTGCAGTGAGTACGATGACGATGGCGACAGTGACACTCGCTTGCTGGATTCCGTGCCGAATGGTTGTGCCGCCCGCGACCTCCGACGCCAGCGCAGCTCTCGCCGATTGGTTCGCCGTCCACGATCTCGTGATGCCGCGAAGATCTCTCCGTGTGGTGCCCCGTCTTCTGACTCCTTCAACCGTGTCCCAACCTTCTCTTCCTTAATCTTTACTTTTCACCCTATCCTTTTAATCCCTTCCCTCGTGAGCTACTGTTTAAAAGTAGCACTTAGAAGCAGACAGTTACGGGGCTAACTTCCCTCTTCTTTTTCCTATTTAAGAATACCCCCCCCCCCCCCCCGGTGACTGTGAGCCCCCCTGTTCTGCACTTAACGCGAAAAATCGTTGCAGGCCGTCGCCGAAAGACTGAGGCGAATCGATTATTTAAAAGATGTGGCTGAATCATACGATAGTCCGCATTCGGATGAAGCATGCGTGAGGGGAAGTGTCGATTGTATGCCGCCCAGTCAGATGATGTACATATTAGCAGAGCTAGTTGGGGCATTCTTCGGTAGTCGTATTTCCGCCGGATGAACCACTTGATCGACAGTAGTGTTTACATCACTTATTTCTCGCTTCATCGCGCTGAAGTGCCACCTGTACTACTGTACTAATTGCGTGCTTCATTACATCAGCAAGAGGCAATGCATTTTGTCACCATTAGGCAATACTCTTGTGTGGTTGAGGTGCAATACAAATGTAAATAAATGCCGTAGTCGATTATTCAAGGATGGGATGTTGGCTTGTTTCGGGATACTTTTACATGCACTGCACGGTCTAACGATGAGGGACAAGGTATCTTGTTCAAGATAATGTGCTAGAGCAGTGTATGGAACCTTCTTCTTCCCAGGACGCAAATAAAGTTCATCTGTCTGTCTGTCTGAGCAGTGTATGTTGTGAGAGACCAAGGTAACTGCTGTCGACTAATAGTAAGAGTCCGGATCCCAAGAGAAGGCAAGTGACGCATGATGAGGCAGCAAGCTGTATATGCAGACGAGACTAAAGAGAAGGCGGGGATAACGTCGCCACTGCTAGCACAGAACCAGTTTAATTGGAGAAACGTGAGAGAGGCGTTTGCCCTGCAGTGGACTAAATCATGACTAGTGAAATAATGATTCAGCGGTTGTCGTCAAAATATGCGCAGGCGGTGGTGCGCTACGATGGCTACCTGGGCTTCCCCGGAGGCCTGGTGGACCCAGGCGAAAATCTCGTTCAGGCGCTGAACCGCGAGCTGCGCGAGGAGTTGAACGCGGACACGTCCCGGATCTCGGCCACCGGCGGTGACCACGTGATCAGCTTCACGAAAAAGGAGCGCCGCTTCGCGTATCACTTCTTCGAGGTACGGCTGACGGCCGAGGAGCTGCTAGCCACTGAGCAAGCCGCCATCGGCAGCCGGGAGCACGGAAACGAGACGCTGGGCATCCTGCGCGTGCCCCTCTACAGCATGGCCGACGGTGTCGGGGGCTTCCCCGTGTTGCTTGCGCAGCGATTCGCCGGCTGCGCACGCCAGCAGCTTCTCTACGCCACCGTCCGGCTTGGTCTGCTGGACGATGCCGTGGCACGCGCTGCAATCGCCCAGAGCGAGGCCGCGTTTGGCTGCAAAAAGATGTAGTTGTTATTACCGCATCGTCTTACGCGCCACCCTTTTGATGGTGACGCCAGTGAGTAATAAAGTGACCAAATATCACGCGCACAGCTCCCACAATTAAAACATGTTGTATGTTGTAATATATGAGAAACTTTTTTCAAAGCCTTGTCCATATTGCGAGCCTTTATTAAATCGTAAAGAATTAAGCCTCAAATCGGGGAAAATTCTTTCAGGCTGGTCTTGCTATTGTGTGCCTTTATTCATAGGATATGTTGACCCATGAAGGCGGGAGGAGCACATCACACTCCAGGATAACGTTATTTAAGAGACCGTCGTACCGTAGCAATCGCCGCTTTGCGGACGACGCCCACCGGTTAAACCGACTGGAATTTTGTTAATGGAAACCCTCAAGGCGTGTGATGTGAATCACGTCGGCCTTGCTTGAGCGGTAACAACTAGTCAAAACGGGAGTTAGCACGCACGTTGCATCATTCAGAGAGAGAATGGAAGACAAGAAGGTTAACCACAAGTAGTATCCGCTTTTATATACCACCTACTTAGGAAAGGGGGTGTGAAATAATGGAAAAGGAGACGAGCTGATGACAATGTGGGAAGAGCTGGTGGCGGAAAATGTCATTTAGTTCGGTTTCTCTGAAAAAAGGTGCCTTAGTATGTTGTCACAAAGGATTGGCGCAAGCGGCCAAGGAGCCCGCGTGGTCAGCGACCAAGTTTATTGAGTGCCCTGGAGTTTGAGGATCCTTGCCCCAGTATCCACGAATTGAATGTAGAAGCTATGCCTGCTACGCGGGCTTGCTAGACGGCCCAGACTGCTCAGTGAGCTTGGAGCTTTGTAGGGCATTGGCCCACTTCTCTTAGAGAACATCGGATTAAAGTCTTTAGTGTTTACTGCGCTATCACAGATCACGCGTTTGAGCGTGGTAGGTTCTGTAACCTATACGTTTCAGGCGCTGTCGTTATAGACGACGGGAGTAGAACCCATTATACACCAGCGGGTTTTCATATGCGTCATTCTGTAGCGGCCATCAGATGGTAATTTGGGCGTCGCATAACTTGTTGTTGCGAGGAGTAAAACTGGACCCGGCCTCAAAAAAAGCTAAGTAATTCCACTGCAAAACGTTAACCTCTTCTTGTCTGTGTATAGGCTTGTAACCTCTGAGTCAAGACGCACTTGCGAAGTGGTGTCATACCGAATGGCCTTTTACAGTGAAAGCCGTTATGATATCAAAACTTCGTTTACGCGCTGTCGTATTTGTCCGCTGCCGCCGCCGGTGTCCGTAACCACAAACCACAGAAATAAGGAAAAAAACTTTAGTGCCAGTAACACAGTAGGGCTCGAACCCGGGTCCGCAGCGTGCCAGCTTAGTATTCTACCATTGAGCCCCACCGTCTTTTTTTTTTCTTTAATGTTGAGCCACACCGGTCCTTCCTTTGATATACAAGGCAACAGACAACAACAAAGAAAGGATTGAGCCACACCGTCCTTCCTTTGTTGTTGTTGTTTGTTGCCTTGTATATCAACGCGGTTAATTTTTCACTTATTTACTTATTGGTCAAAATACAAGTGCGTCACAAAATGCACCCACAAAATTCATTGAAGTACCGTCAGCTTTTAGTTGACTATCGATAAATACTTTGGCATTCGTAACAATAGCTCAGTGCACACAATCCAGTCTAGTACATCCTCTTGGCCCCTCAGCAATTCAGGAAAATGGCACGCAAATTCGCGAAATGTTGGCGCACCGATAGCACTTCTACATCCGCGTTTTCGAAGGCACATGCCGCGCCGGTGCTTAAGACTTGTTCGCAAACTTGCCTTAGGCAGGCTTGATGTCGGGAAAGCAATCGCGTTAATGCGACTTATAAAGCGTTTTAAAATAGCGAAACGGCAACCAGTCGTCGCACAATGTGAATAGCGTAACGAGTGGGTCGTCCAATGCTCTAACCAATTACGAAAGCCTGTTCTTGTTAATATTAACAGTGGCGCATGCCCACTTCAGGCATAAATCCTCATCGTCATCAGCCACTGCATGAACAATTGGCACAAAATTCATTGCAAGTGTTTAGCGGATACCACACTTTTGAGAAAAATGACAAAAAATAGCATATCGAATGCCAGCCTACTACACAAAAATTATTGTTATTTAAAGAGGGTTTATTGAAGGACTGAGCAAGCGGGTGGTAACTCGAAAGGAACGCAGGCGGACCCAGATGATTGTGCTCGATCGCCGATCACGTGCCTTTTTCTTGGGTTGATGATAGCTGACCTGATGGTATCAACGTCTTTCTTAATCACTATAATTACCCCCGGCGAAAGAGTTGAAGCCATCCTGGCAATCTAACACGTGGGGACAAGTGGGTCAAAGTAGGGCTTCAGACGGTTTACGTGAACGATATTACGTCGACGCCGACGACGGTCGCTCGGTGGCGTGAGGGGTTCAATGGCGTACTTCACGGGTGAGGTACGCTCGACCACGCGGTAGGGACCTTGATAATTAGAAAGTAGCTTGGGTGATATACACCAGGGGCACAGGGCGGTCCATGAAGCCATACAAGTGCTCCAGGAACGAACGTTGGTGCAGAACGATGGTTGTCGTCACGGGTCTCCTTCTGGCGCTGCTGGTCGGGTGTAGTAAGTCGCTTGGCTAGCTTGCGGCACTCTTCTGCATAACGAGCGGCTTCCGAGACAGACGTGCATTCGGAGGGATCTGGCGAGTATGGCAGTGAAGTGTCAATGGTGTGCGATGATTGGCTACCATACAGGAGAAAAAATGGAGAAAACCCGGTTGTGACTTGCGTAGCGGTGTTGTACGCGTATGTCACAAAGGGAAGAATGAGGCCCAGTTTGTTTGATCAGAAGCTACATGCGTAGCGAGCATGTTTCCCAGAGTACGATTAAACCGCTCAGTCAAGCCGTGCGTCTGTGGGTGGTAGGCTGTACTCTTCCGGTGTACAATATGGCACTGTTGAAGAAGTGCTTGGATTACATCGGAGAGAAAAACACGCCATCGGTCACTGATGAGTTTTCGAGGAGGACCATGACGAAGCACAAAACGATTGAGTATGAAAGTTGCGACGTCTTGTGCTGCAGCTGTGGGAAGAGCAGCAGTTTCAGCGTATCGTGTTAGATGAGCCACTGCCACGATAGCCCATCCGTTGCCTGCCGTTGTCAATGGTAGTGGTCTGTAGAAGTCAGTTCCTACACGGTCAAAGGGGTGGTCTGGGCATGGAAGTGGCTGCAATGAACCTGTTGCAGGATGTGGCGGGCTTTTCCGCCGCTGAAATTCGTGGCAGCCGCGAATGAACTGGCGGACGAAGGTAAACATTCCGCGCCAATGATACCTTTTTCGTAGGCGCTCGTAGGTCTTGAAAACACCGGCGTGAGCACATTGCGGGTCGGAATAAAACGACGCGCAGATAGCAGAGCGCAGCGTTCGGGGAATGACTAGTAGCCATTTCCTACCATCTGCTGAATAGTTGCGCCGGTACAAACGGCCACCCCGAATACTGAAGTGCGGAGCCTGGCGGCGCAGGGTTCGAGTGGTTGGAAGTGTCGGTGCCTCGGATAACGCGTCAAGAAGCGGAGCGATCCATGGGTCATTGCGTTGTGCAGAAGAGATGGTGTTCTCGTCAAGAGCTGACAACGTGTTGTCCGAGGACACAGATGCAATGTCCGGGGATAGGGGAGATCGCGACAGTGCATCAGCATCGCCATGCTTGTGGCCGGAACGATATACAACGCGAATGTCATATTCTTGAAGCCGAAGAGCCCAACGGGCAAGACGACCCGATGGGTCCTTGAGCGAAGATAACCAGCATAATGCGTGGTGGTCCGTTACTACATCATAAGCACGGCCATATAGGTATGGGCGGAACTTGACAAGCGCCCAAACGATCGCCAAGCATTCCTTCTCGGTGACGCTGTAGTTTTATTCAGCTTTGGTGAGAGTTCTGCTGGCGTAGGCGACGACATAGTCGGGGAATCCAGGCTTGCATTGCGCGAGAACCGCACCGAGGCCGACACCACTGGCGTCGGTGTGGACCTAAGTTGCTGCTGTAGGATCGTAGTGAGGCAGTATTGGTGGTGAAGTGAGGAGACGACGAAGGGTACAGAAGGCTTGGTCACACTCAGAAGACCATGACGAAATATCAGTGGTGCTGCCTAGAAGTTCGGTCAAAGGCGCAATGATAGAGGCGAAGTTGCGCACAAACCGGCGAAAGTAGGAGCATAACCCCACGAAGCTCCGTAACTGCTTCATAGTCGTTGGTTTGGGGAAGTCGGCGACAGCACGTAATTTAGCCGGGTCTGGAAGTATACCGTCCTTTTATACGATGTGCCCGAGAATCGTTGGTTGCCGAGCAGCGAAGCGGCACTTTTTGAGGTTGAGTTGAAGCTGAGCATTCTTCAGGCACGTGAGGACGTGTTTCAGGCACTCGAGATGTGTCGCAAAGTCTGACGCAAAGACGACAATATCGTCGAGATAACAGAGACATATTTGCCACTTCGAACCCTGAACAACCGAGTCCATCATGTGCTCGAAGGTGGCAGGTGCGTTACAGAGGCAGAAGGGCATGACATTAAACTCATATAGACCGTCGGGAGTCACGAAGGCTGCTTTTGGTCGATCGGGGTCTGCAACAGGATCCTTGTAAAGTATCAAGGGCATCGTCAATCCTGGGTAAAGGATACACGCCTTTTCGAGTGATCTTATTTAGGCGCCGGTAATCCACGCAGAAGCGAACGGAACCATCCTTTTTTTAACGAGCACTACAGCTGAGGCCCATGGACTTTGTGAAGGTTGAATGACGCCGGGTTGCAGCATATCGTTCACCTGTTCGGTAACAACTTGGCGTTCCACCGCAGAAACACGATATGGTCGTTGTGGCGCATGGGAGCCGGTATCGATGTAATGTAGAGTGGTAGAAGTGCGGCCAAGTGAAGGTTGAACAACATCGAAAGATTCGCGGTACTGATACAGCAGTTGGGGGAGTTCAGTTCGTTCAGATGGTGACAGTCCGTCTGCGATCGCCGAATCGAACACTTTCGAAGCCTGTAGATCAGAGTGGTTAAGAGCACTGACGGCGGCGTGGTCACTTTGGGATGATTCTTGTGGCACGGTAAAAATTTGTCCGTTATCA